CCCACTGGGTGTTCGAGCAGTGAATTTTACGGATCAAGTTTTAAAATGAACGTAATTTTAGGCCCTTAGCTCTGTTAAATCACTTCCGTTTTCACAATCCTTTATTCGTTCAACGATATGCTGTGGCTTATGTTTTAGCTTGATGAAATATACTTACTTAGAAATCGATCTTATAAGAGAAAAAGAGTCTTTGTAATAATACCTTAATTATTCCAACACAAATGAATGAATTTCACCAGTCGCGAATACTGTCCGTCCTAAATCATTACCTTCCATTCTTCTTGCACTTTTTCATCACTCTCTTGGTGTACCAGTGAAAACATTTGCGGAGCATACGACTTCGACCTGTGCCATCACTTATACCTAACAAATTCATCTGGGATCACTATCGAGTAAAACAACTGACACTTACAGATTGACGTCTTTAAGTGACTGCTACGTACTTCCACCTCATTCATTTTCGACCACCAACTGCTTGTCTCAACGTAACACAACAGAGTGCGCCAAATCACAAACTGAACGTCAGTCGTACTAACATTATGAGTCTATCATACGAACATTTTTTCACTGGTGATATTACTCACGTGGTTGTGATAGTTCTGCACTTTTCAGCCCCATGCAGCAGAACTGTTATGGTGTTCGTATTAGAGATTCTGACAATGATGTTGGTTGACAGTTATTTTAAGTTCCATATGTTCTTCAACTGTAGGAATATTGACTTTGCTTTGCAAATGCTTACCTTCACGTCTGCATCGGATACTGTTTGTCAATGGACGACAATGCTCGAACATGTTGAAATTTCAACCTGTTCAAATGATTCTCCATCACGTAGGATTGAGTCAGTCAACTCTCTATCTTGACAAGTCAACATTCGGTATATTCTCTTAGCTCGCCTTCGGCTCTTACCAAATTTGATCCATTATCACTGTATATCTCTCTTGTTAAGACTCGTCCACTGACAAATCTCATTAGTGACTTGGTAAACGAGTCAGCGATAAAACTGAATGCTATTCCAGATGCGCAGCTCTTAATCTTGGAAAAGTCAATACACAACCACAGTGCTTCGCAATACTTCCACCACGTGTCGCCATGATGGGTCCAAAATAATATACCACAATTGATAAACATGGATAGTCACCATCGTCTATCTTGATGGCGAGTAAGAGTGAAATTATGGGATGTTTCCTCGATTCAGGTCAAGAGCTATTATGACGTCGATCATAGACACACGACAATCCATTTATCATCAACGACTCTAAGTATAGCAATGGGGGATTTATTTCCTTCACCTTGTTACTGATTTTAGACGACAAGGACATGAAAGTGAGAATATTGGTGTGTTTTTCATAGTAAAATACAAAACAAGTCTTCCATTTATTCTCAATAACGATACTGACATGAGCAACAAGCTCGCATGTGACGACATTTGTGAAGAGTTTGAAAATAATCGAGACAACGAGAATATTGTATGCGGAATAACGAAGGAATATAAAATTAATTTGGAAAATTATTGCGAAACGCGAAAATATATGGTAATGATTGCTTGGTTTACAATTCCCATCCAGTCAAGTGAGATATCTTAACTAATTAGATAATTTCGTCCGTATGACTAAAGATATTAAATAATCAGTGATTGGCATAATTGTTCTCGAAAACACATGAGATACTACTGGTTACGACCTTCCACCTCACTTGGCGATTACGTACAAGCAATAATCTTACGTTCAACATCTCGTAATTCCCAAATTTCCACATCAGCACTTTTCAGCTGCGTATCAGGCAACTGTAAACAGTTGAATTTCTTTTAATAATAATAATAATAATATAATATATTCTGAAAATAATATTTACAGAATTCACACCAGTTTACAGGCATGATCAGATTGTTATAAAAATCAACATTTAATGTAGAGAACAAACATGGATTATAAGAAAGTTTTATGTTTGCTGGTTTAGCAATTGATAAACAGTTTAAATATGGCATATATCACGGCAAGCCAATGCAACACCAGGGAACTTGTCATTTTTTTATTAAGTGGATAGCCTGATGACTGATCAACATTGTTCTGTAAGGTTGTTACCAGTACCAGAGCGAGTTATTATTAATTATCTACAACTAGAAAAAGTAAGATTAAAGCAAAGAGCACGGAACAAATAATGAATCTTTTCGTCATCAATCACATATCGCCCCTTTAAATGAGGAGGATAATCTCCAGCGTACTATTGTCAAACAGTTGAAAACAGGAACTCGT